CTGCTATTGTTGGTGGTGTTGGTGGTGATGTTGGTGGTGGTGGTGGTGGTGGTAGTGGTGCTGGTTGTGGTGCTGCTGGTGGTGTAGTTGTGCTGGTGTTGCTGCTGCTGGTGTTGCTGCTGCTGCTGCTGCTGTTGTTGTTGCTGCTGCTGCTGCTGCTGTTGTTGTTGCTGCTGCTGTTGTTGTTGCCTCTGGCGGTGTTGCCGGTGCCGCTGTTGGTGGTGTTGCTGCTATTGGCGTTGCTGCTGCTGCTGCTGCTGCTGCTGCTGCTGCTGCTGAATCGATCGTCGTTCCGGTTGCTGCACCTGCCGCTGGGTTTGCAGCAGAGCCAAATGCCCCCTTTAGGGTTTAGGGTTTAGGGTTTAGGGTTTAGGGTTTAGGGTTTGTGTTTGAGGGTTTAGAGAGGGTATCCTGCGGACGCCTGATGCTGTGAATACTTTCTTAGAGAGAGTTGAGTTGGCTCTGGAGGTGCGTGAAAACCCTAAACCCTAAACCCTAAACCCTAAACCCTAAACCCTAAACCCTAGACCCTAAACCGTAATTTGTGTATGTAATAAAAGCGAGTTGAAATATATGTAGGGTTTGTGGTGTATGTATATACAGGAGAAAATAGAAAAGGAAATGAAAACCCTAAAAAATACAGCTCAGTCTCTGTCTCCTTCTTTTGGGGTTTCTCTCTCCCTACAACCACACGATATACCCTTCTTAATGGAGTGCTATCAAGCCAAACACAGAGCCAACAGGCAAACCCTAAACCCTAAACCCTAAACCCTAGACCCTAAACCCTAGACCCTAAAGCCTAGACCCTAAAGCCTAGACCCTAAACCCTAAACCCTAAACCCTAAACCCTAAACCCTAGAACCTAAACCCTAGAAAGGAGGATAGTAGATCAAACACACACACATCAAACACTTTTATCTAAACCCTTGCATCAACGCTACTCAAGCAAAACCCTAAACCCTAAACCCTAAACCCTAAATCCTAAACCCTCTGAAAATCTACCATACCAAATCACATTTTATTTCTACAATAGGATTCTTAAAACCCCAACTCCTTACAATCTAAGTTTTAGGGTTTAGGGTTTAGGGTTTAGGGTTTAGGGTTTGCGTTCAGGCCTGTTCAGCCGCTGCGGCTGCCGCTTGAAACGATCTGGCGAAGGGCCGTTGAGATAGTGGAGCGCCTCACCGGGTTTACTCTTGTCCCGGTTTCTCCTGCTCCGGGTACGCGAGGGTTTAGGGTTTAGGGTTTAGGGTTTAGGGTTTAGGGGCTGGGGTTTAGGGTTTTTTTCGTCCTGCTCCGGGTACGCGAGGGTTTAGGGTTTAGGGTTTAGGGTTTTAGGGGCTGGGGTTTAGGGGTTTGTTTCTCCTGCTCCGGGTAGGCGAGGGTTTAGGGTTTAGGGTTTAGGGTTTAGGGTTTAGGGCTTTAGGGGCTGCGGTTTAGGGGTTTGTTTCTCCTGCTCCGGGCACACGAGGGTTTAGGGTTTAGGGTCTAGGGTTTAGAGTTTAGGGGTTTATTCATCCTGCTCCAGGTACGCGAGGGTTTAGGGTTTAGGGTTTAGGGTTTAGGGTTTTGTTGCAGGCGAGACTTGGCACTGGAGTGTTTTGAAGTTTGAGTTGCATCCAATAGAGAGGGTTCGGGGGGGGGCCCCCAGGGGAGATTTATATGTTGACCTTTGGGCGCGTAAAGAGAAGACAAGGCTGCTGGCGCAGTTTACTATTAGAGGTTCAAAGAAAATGAATTATCCTTTGCAGCAGGTAGAGGGTTTAGAGGGTTTAGAGGGTTTAGGGTTTAGGGTTTAGGGTTTAGGGTTTGGGGTTTTGGTGGAGAAGGAAGGGTTTAGGGGTTAGTTTTTAAGATTCTGTGATAGGGTTTAGATTCAAGGGTTTAGGGTTTAGGGTTTATGGATGAGGGTTTACTTATAAACTTTTCGCGTTTGATGCTAAGACCCTTGAATCTAGGGTTTAGGGTTTAGGGTTTAGGGTTTAGGGTTTGCGGTGGTTTGGGTTCAGGGGTGGGAGCTGGGGGGCCCCCTGACTCGTGCATGCGTTGTTGAGGAGAAAGGCAGCCTGAGGCAAACCCCCTGCTGCGCTTTGGTTTCTAACTTTGAACCCCCAGCCCGCTTTTATAGTTTCGATAAAGGTAGGGTTTAGGGTTTAGGGTTTAGGGTTTAGGGTTTAGGGTTAATCGTTAGATTGAGGGTTTATGGTTTAGGGTTTAGGGTGTTGGGGTTGTGTTTAGGGTTCGACGTTTAGGGTCTACTATGTTTATAGGGTTTAGACTTTCAGGGTTTAGGGTTTAGGGTTTANAGGGTTTAGGGTTTAGGGTTTAGGGTTTAGGGTTTAGGGTTTGCAGGTGGTGATGCTGGCGTTGCTTATTCTCTATTGAAGGAATGTAAACTAACAAAAGAAGAAAGCATTCATCTTTTGCATGAGCTCGGCCACGTGCTGCACGGCCTTTTATCTCAGACAGAGTTGCAGCATCTATCAGGCAAAACCCTAAACCCTAAACCCTAAACCCTAAACCCTAAACCCTAAACCCTAAACCCTTCATTCTGAGCTCTAAGTAACTAATGTAAACAGACAGAAACTCCTCCTCAATATATTCAATCAATCGCTAGGGTTTAGGGTTTTCAGTTTTATGATAGAAATTTCGAGGGTTTAGGGTTTAGGGTTTAGGGTTTAGGGTTTAGGGTTTAGGAGATTTGGGGTGTATGTACACCTCAGGCACGCGTGGCGCCGTCGACTTCTCTGAATTTCCTTCTCATTTATTTGAGTGTTTTGCCCCCCATATATTTAAACAACAAACCCTAAACCCTAATTTTAATGATGATAGCAGTGGAGGGTTTGAGGGTTTTCATATGGCTCACCAGCTGCAACTCGCACTGCTAGACCGCGTAAACCCTAAACCCTAAACCCTAAACCCTAAACCCCAAACCCTAAACCCTTAACCCTAAACCCTGGATTGTAGTTTCCTCCTCGGATCAAGCTGTACGAGACCTGAGTCTTGTTTGCCTTTGAACTAGCTTGAAACATAAACCCTAAACACTAAACCCTAAACCCTAAACCCTCATGCGAGCAATGTGTGAAGGCGTGGTGTATTCTTGTAGTGGCCTGCAGCGCCAGCTACTGATTGTTTTGTGTTTCAGCTTTTAGGGTTTAGGGTTTAGGGTTTAGGGTTTAGGTGTGTTGTTGCAGGCGTTTTATAGTTACACACCTAGCGAGGGTTTACTGTCTCCGGGGGGAGAACTGTGCAGCAGCACACAGCAGCAGCAGCAGCAGCAGCAGCAGCTGCTGCAGCAGCAGCTGCAGCAGCAGGAGCTGCAGCAGCTGCTGCAGTGTATAGACAACAACTTCAACAAAAGAACAATACTAGGAAAAATATATACAGGTGGTGCAACCCCACTCTGGCGGCTTGTAGGCCGTCCCCCTCTCCGAGCATTTGAACATATTGTACACTATGGAGCCAATTACTTTTGTTATCTTTTCTGCAGGTAAACCCTAAACCCTAAACCCTAAACCCTAAACCCTAAACCCTAGCTTGTAGTCTTCAGTTTAAGGGTTTACAATGCTGGATATACTGCATATATCGATAGAAAAAACGCACCTTTTGCTGCTATTTTTAGGGTTTAGGGTTTAGGGTTTAGAATTTTGGTTTCTAGGGTTTAGGGTTTAGGGTTTAGGGTTTAGGGTTTNGGGTTTAGGGTTTAGGGTTTAGAATTTTGGTTTCTAGGGTTTAGGGTTTAGGGTTTAGGGTTTAGGGTTTGTGTATGTATATGCAGGTGTTTTTCGAGTTATATTTGGTGTAAAGCAATAAGAAAAGAAGCAGAAGAAGGAGGAGGGGGTTATAGTTTATTAAGTTTAATGGAAAAGGGATCAACAGACTGCAGCGCTTTGACTTTATTAAAACTTTTGGGAGAAAACGAAAAAAAAAAAGTAATTGAGCAGCTGTCTATACACCCCGAGATGGTGCCTCTACAGTTTTTATTTAAACACTGAAACACAAAAAAAATCATTTCGAGGGTTTTGCGCGCATTCTAAACCCTAAACCCTAAACCCTAAACCCTAGATTCAATACAGTTGGTAAACGGGAGAACACACTAACCCTAAACCCTAAACCCTAAACCCTCGTCAGGTGTATTCAGGATGAGGCAAAACATAACACGGGGTCATCATGAACAGCATGCATGCATGCATGCATGCATGCAGATATGTATAATATTTATTTATGTATATATTTTATTTATTTATAATAGATAGATTTTATATCATAGAAGAGGTTTTGTTGTTTTATGCGGTGTGCATGCACTAACACCTTCAGGTGTATGTACAGGTGGACATACACCTGAAAGCCGCAGTATTTCTCTTATAGAAATCAGCTCATCTAAACCCTAAACTCTAAACCCTAAACCCTAAACCCTAAACCCTTTGCGCCTCTCGCATGTTCTGCAGTAGTACCCTTGAATAAGTAATACAAACGAACTGAGGCTCGTCATCTAGGGTTTAGGGTTTAGGTTTTAGGGATACATCTGTGGTTTGTACACTGAAACAAATCTAATATTATACCGTTACGAGCTTTCTAGTGGCCTCCAGTTAGGTTTTTTAAGGGTTTAGGGTTTAGGGTTTAGGGTTTACAGCTTTGGGTTTCGAGTGCAATTGAATGAAAGACGAGAAAGAAGCGCCTCTTTGCCACAAAAACACCAAAAATATAATATTTTTTAGATAAAGATAAATAAAAATGTAAACTCTTTACAGATGATGGGAAAGAAAAGGGGCACACACATATTCATCGTTTCATGAGCTGGGGTGTATGTACACCTCAGCAACACCCAGCCCCGCAAGCCAGCGATCAGAGGGTTCTTTAGGAAACAAATAATACAAAAAGTTGCAATATAAAACCACTGAAACATTCAAATAAATTCAAAAATTAATTGCAAATGCTTTTCTAGTTCAACGGTCCACCTAGAGACCAAACCGGTGGGTGAGGCTCAGAGAGAGAGAAAGCAGAGGAAGCAGAGCATAGAGAAAGCTTGAAATCCTAATAGAATTAAAAACATGAAAAATAAAATAATTATATAAATAAACCGAGTAATAGTTCACATATAACAGCTAACAGAAACATATACATAAAATACATGAATGCCTCATTCAGGTGTACGTACACTCTGGACGCTAGCGTGCAAGTTGCACAGCTCTTATAGAAACCGAGAAATATGCATAAAATACGAGAAAAAGTTACTTTGCATGCATTGTTTTGTTGTATTTTCTTTATTTTATTGAATATTCCTAAAAATAAAACCCTAAAAATACAAAGATCGNATTGTTTTGTTGTATTTTCTTTATTTTATTGAATATTCCTAAAAATAAAACCCTAAAAATACAAAGATCGCGACGAAACATCTGCGGTTAGTGCTGAAACAAAAGATGAACACGCAGCACAGCAGCCCCAGGAGAGTCAGAGAAAGCACAAGGATCTGCGTGATTTTGCGGCTTTTTGAGTGGAATTTTTCATGAATTATCTTTAAATAAGTGGTATTTATTCTTTTAATTGAAAAAAAAACGAAAATTTGCTCAATATTTTCATCTGTTTTCGGTAGAAGGACATGCACTACACTGAGCCTCTTCTTAACTAGCCGGCCTTCTGTTGCCACCCCGGATTCATATTTTATTGAATTTCTTCTCTGCTTTTGTAATATTTATTCAATTATCTTTCTAAATAAAACACAGAAGATAATTGTATTCCTCTCTCTTAGCTCCTGCACGCAACGGGGCCCTCCTAGCTTTATGTTACCGCAGAGGTCCAGTGTACATACACCGCAACTTCTATCGGTTTCTTCTTCGTGTTTGTATTGTATGATTAAAATTCATCATTTCTCTTTCTTTTNCCGCAACTTCTATCGGTTTCTTCTTCGTGTTTGTATTGTATGATTAAAATTCATCATTTCTCTTTCTTTTCTGCTTATTCTTTACCTCTCAACCATCTGCAGCTCTCTGTGTAGACCCTGCATTGATAGGAGTAGCGTTGTGTTCAGATATCTGTTTCTGTATTTCATCGATTCATTCTTTCTCTGGTTCTTTGACTGCTGTTTCCGCTGTATATACACCTCAGCGTATACTTTATATATATATATATATATATATATATATATTCTCTCTCCCGCCGCCATGGCGAGTCTAAGTCTAGAAAAGGAGGGGAGGCAGCGGTCCCTAAAGGAGCAGCAGAGAAAGCCAGAGGATGATGACTCAGAAGACAACCAATCACAAGCATCAGAAAGTCCGAGCTGCCTATACACCTGAAATTCTAGCATTCTTCACCACATAGATCAATCCACCACAAACTATCTAGGGTTTAGGGTTTAGGGTTTATGTGTTGTGTTTTTTTCTGTTTTTTTTCGGGTGTACAGACACCGGAATAGACCCAGGAGGAGGCAAAACTTTAATAAACGGATACAGCAAAAGAACAAAAAAACTTTCTTGGTCTCTTCTTCTCGCTTATGCGGCCCCCATGATAGGTGCTGGCGGCATGAATTTTACTCTTACTACA